GTGGGCCCTCTGTTGTTTATACTGTAACATATATAAATGATTTAGATTCAGGTTTGAGTAGCAACATTTGCAAATTTGCCGACGATACAAAAATCAACACGGAAATAAATACAGAAGACGACTCGCTATCACTTCAAGTCAATCTAAACAGGGTTTTAAAACGGTCAAAAGATTGGCAGATGCAGTTTAATGCTGATAAATGTAAAGTTTTGAGGCTAGGTAATGATGATAGTGTTACAAGATATGAGCTAGATGGTGTTCGAGATTGCAAAGTCGGATTGCGAAAGGGATCTGGGAGTTATGATTAGTAAGAATTTAAAACCAAAGGATCAATGCATGAATGTTTGTAATAAGGAAAATAGGACACTGGGATTTATTAATCGAAGCGTTAGTAACAAGGCACCCGGTAGTGTTCTTCAGCTATATCTTGCTCTGGTTAGGCCCCATTTAGATTATGCAGTTCAGTTTTGGTTGCCGTACTGTAGAATGGATATAAATTCACTTGAACGTGACCAGCGTAGGATGACTTAATTCTCCAAATTAGAAACCTGTCATATGAAGAGAGATTAACAAAGCTAAAATTGCATTCACTGGAAAGGTGAAGAGTTAGTGGTGACATGATACAAGTTTACAAATAGATGAATGGGCATGCAACCTGTTCTCGCAAATTGAATAAGTCAATATTGACTTATTAAATATGTGCATAGGTGACATACTTAACATAATAGTTTCCCTTGAAAAGCTTCATAGAAAACACCGACCTTACCTAACCTACTTAGTATGTTAAGATAAGCATCTTATTGCTTCGTAATTACAATTATTACCTAACCTATACCTATAATAGGTTAAATAACAATTGTAATTACAAAGCTATAAGATGCTTATTTTAACATACTAAGTAGGTTAAGTAAGGTCGGTGTTTTCTATGAAGCTTTTCAAGGGAAACTATTATGTTTAGTATGTCACCTATGCACGCAACTAATAAGTTAATATTGACTTATTAAATTTGCGAGAACGGGTTGGGGCATAACAAAGGGGGGATATTAATAATAGGGCATTGAAAGTATCAACACAAGACATCCAATTTATACCCATTGTTTTGTGTTCCAAGTTTAGATTTAGGAAAGACTTGGGTAAATACTGGTTCAGTAATGGTTGTTGATTTGTGGAACCAATTACTGTCCTGCGTAACAAGGTGGTTAGGTCCCTCGATTGTTTCAAACGTGGGTTGGACATGTATATGAGTGGGATTAGGTGGTTTTAAGTAGGAGCTGCCTCGTATGGGCCAAAAGGCTTTCTGCAGTTACCTTTGATCTTGTGTTCTTGACTCTTGGATGCCACCACTAAGGAGGCCATTCATACTTGCAATGGTCTCCGGAAAAGGATACCCCATTCAAATTTCTACCTGGTCATGCTGCAGTCCATGACCATTGGCAGGGTCATTGGTCATTTATAGGTAATAAACTCTGCTCTTAAATTTAACATTTTCCCTTGGCCTTCCTCCTGCCATCATAATAGGCAATAAGAAACTACTTTGGCTAGGTTGCACATTGGTCACACTTGCTCGACTCATGGTCACTTCATGAAACAGTCTTGCTGCCTTCTGTCCTAACTGCAGTCCCACTTAGTTGTGTGCCTTGTTGACTGCCCCAATTTGTGGGATGAGAGTTTCTTTCCCAATATCCCTAGGTCATTTTTTTTAGAATCCTTTCTGAATCGGACATTTTTAATATCATTCGCCGTATGTCATTTTTGTTCTTACATTGGCATAGTGATATTTAGTGCCTTTTGAATACCTTGCAACAGATTGTGCTGCAGTCTTCCTGGCTTGGTGCCTTCTTTGACAATGAAATTTTTGATGTACAGGTATATTGTCAGGGTTAGAGGGAAACAATTGTGCAAGCACGATTCTTCAGTTGTACGATTCCATTGCCATGTATTGCAAGAACAGAATTGCATACAAACGTTCAACAGGTGATGGCAGACATGGAAGCACGCTGCACTTCTCATTTCAACCCTTCGGATAAGTTTTTTTTTTCTATTTATAAACAGGCTTTGAGAGATTACCGTAAAAGTTATCAAATACAGTAACCATTAAAAACCTGGAAAATGACAACTGTAGATGTAGGCCAGCCAACTAATTTAAAAGTGTCCATTTAACAATTTTATAAGGATATTCAAAATAGTTCCACCTGGAATTTTTTATTTTATGACCTCATACATTAGGAAGTAGCACAATGTTAGTACAGTACTCTTTTTAAAGTTTGTTAAATAATAAACTTTATAAAAATTCATCTTCATAGCAAAATTTAACAAAATATTTATAAACAAACTTTCTTCAAGGTTTGTCCAACTACAGAATGCCAAATAATAATAAACAGTGATTAAAAATATAAATTTGCAACAAATTTTTAACAAAATTAAATTTAACATACCCAAGAAATTTTTTGGCAGCAAATCAAGACTTGAATGAAATTGAACACTGCAAAGTGTCAGGATTTTCCAGAACAATTTACAAGTTGTGTGTATGCTTTCAAATCATCACATTTTGTTCATACCCATGAAAAGGAGATCATTACAGCTCTCCCTGTATAATGAATTTGCAACTCGCAAGCAACAATTCATGAGTGTGCAGAACATGGTAATCCCGATTTGTTATTCAAAGTTAAGCTACTTTCCTGAAAGTTTTAAATTATCAATGATAGAATTTGGGCACGATGCCCAGCACTTGACTCAAAAGGCTGTTCGGTGCACGAGAGCATCTAGGAATATTGGAGCATCTTATAACATTCATTTTCTTAATGTCTATGCATCCAAATCACAGCATATTATAGTCTTATAAATAGCTTTACAGGTTTCATGATATCGTCACTCCAACATTCATATAGTCTACACTAACTTCACAATGTCAACATGCAATCATCCTCTTTTATTCAGTCTACTGTACACCCATCTGCACTTTTTGCTATCAGAACTTTTCCTATGTATTTTGAATTTGATTATTTGCAGACCAATACAAATATTTATAAACTGCTGCTGTAAAATTGTATATATTTGTTTGGTTACGACACATTAACCATATACATTCCATGTTCAAAAATTTACCTGAAGTATGCATCAAACAAATCAAAGAAAAAATTAAGATATTAAACTGCAAAATGAGTAATGCTCTGGCAAGTTATCTAAATTTGTAGTAGACAAGTGAATGAACCTGCAATGTAAATTTGGCCAAAGCAAAGTAATAAATAGAAACTCCAGTGGTAGTATTTAGGGTCAAGTTGCCCAAATCTGTCTAATCATTATCAGACCACTAGCTCCTAAAAACCAATGTTTCCTACACCATTGAATAGGACGATATTACAAACAGTGAAACTCTTCGAATACTGTATAGTCCATTTACATACCAAAACATGAAAGGCATCTAAAGAGAAACTAAAAAAGAAATTAGAATGTTTAGCTTCAATGAGACTGCATCCCCTTTCAAACAATGGAACCAAATACCAACATGACAAATTCACCACTACCGGTACCTGGCCACCAAAACTATTAGTGCATCTCCAAATCAATTTATACTATGAATCCATGCTACCACTATGCAACCTTGCATGTTAGTGCAAGACAGACTATCAGTGGTTCCCATGGAATAAGCCACTGAACAGCGGATGATGCCCTTGTTCAGCCACGGGAATAGGAATCACAGTGTCGCCAAACAATTTTTAAAATACAAAAAAAGAAAAACAAAAAACCTACACCATGCTACAATGTCCAGAAATATCATATCTTATTGCTCGGGTTTAAGGAACAGACCACCAAACACTGGGGGTTGTACCACTGTCTGATCCCCCCTTAGAGAGCCTGATATGTGAGAATGAAGTACTTACCAGTACTACAGGAATGTTGCCTTATAGTTTGAAAGTAAGGCAAGTATAATACAAGCCGTAATATAAATTGTTATAGTGGTTAATTTACCACAAAAATGGATGATATGACTGATTAGACACCTGGTGCACACATTATCCAGCCAATTACACATTTTGGTAAATATCTTTAATATTACAACTACACACAATTGTCATTTTATATACATTTTCCCTCTTGCTGTAAATGCCATCATGTATTTTTTATATTTTAAATCCAATTTGAAAACTGATAGTTTACATTAAGAGGCTGGATACTGGCGACTTTACAATACAGTGGCATTCGAACACGCTATAAATTTTATGCAAAATTACAGCAACAGTATCTTTACATGTCAAATTCATAACATTCAAAGAAACACTAATGAATGCAAAGTAACCCATATACCCTGAGATCTATGTATATTGGCCCATCAAATGACGAACTTCACTCAATCTTTCCACAAGCAGTTTAAGGCACATCTTGAGGTCTCTCTCACACTGAAGTTAATCATTTTAACAAATTCTCTAAACTTCCTCCATTCTATCATATGCCATTTACAGATCATAAATATTAAAGTGCAATGATATCACTATTAAATTGGGGACATAATATGAATGACTAATTTTGTTGCAGGTCACATACATAATGTAGAATTTCCATAATCAATTTTCAAACAAATCACAAAATGAACATACATCAATACACAAAATTTTGATGGTAAACATTCTATCGTCAATAATCCATATAACTTAGTAAAAATGCATTATCAGTGACACGGTAGCAAATAAATCTAGTAATAGTAATGGGGGGGGGGGGAAGCCTCCCCCAAGAGGGTAGAATAAGATGGAGAGGGGGGGGGGGGGAAAAAAAAAAAAAAAAAAAAAAAAAAAAAAAAAAAAAAAAAAAAAAAAAAAGTCCACTTACTTGCTATATTTGAACTCTTGACTGCCAGGAAAATAGCCAAATTCTCTCAACACTTCAACAATTACATATAGTGCAGCATCAAAGGTAATCAACTCGCATTTCAAAGTTCTACATGCTGGAGCACATGTGGACACATTCACTCAAAATATTTACGCATGGAAAAACATTAATGATAACCTTTGCTTAAAAATATATTGACACTACAGTACTGTGTATACATGAAGTATTTCAAACTCTTCAAATATTTGTTCTTTAGTATCTTTTTTAAATTGTATATACAAAATTACTATTTTTTAGAAACTCATTTATTAATCCACATTTCTAAGAAAATTAGTAAACATTTGAAAAGTTTTATTTTATGAGAATGCCTTAAATACAGTAGAGCTCTTAAACACACTGGTACAGAGATGAAAGTTCTACACTACATCTGGACATAATTACAAGAAAACTTCACAGCACCATCTGTTTTTATAAAGACATCAGTATCTTACCTATTTACAAGCCAGTCATCGACTACCTCTAGAAAATCCAACATTATCTTCAAGAATGATTTCAAGCTTTGCGAGATAATATGCACGTACAGAATTTATTTTCTTGAAGACCAAGGTTAACCAATGTCTTCAGCACTGGAGGGGGGGAAGGGGAGGGTACATGCACAGTATATATAGAAAGACCAAGAATTTCCAAATTTCCTAACAGAAATCACTGCCAGAATGAGTGCTTGGAGCTTATGACAAATGCATGGCAACATGTTTGTGAAGGGATGGTAGGATATAATCATGAACACCTGTCTAACAGTTAATTAAATTGTAAGGAATGTTTAGTCTTTCTGCAAAAATCTTTAAGTTAACAAATGGTGAAAAATTACAATCATTACCAATTATATGATATTTTTGTAATGGTATTTTTGTTAATAGTACTGTATTCAGATTAGTAATCACAATTAACAATTTAGTAAGAACCAAATTTGTGCACAAATTTAGATTTGATTTTTGCACTTTCATAGCTATAAATAATATTTAAATAGGTAAAAATTAAGTGATAATTTATATATATATATATTAACTACATTATATTTTTGAAATACTGTTTTAGGTATTTATATTTTTAAGTTCAGGCAGTGATACCCATTTAAAAAGTAGTGAAACTAATTATTAATGCCTATGCTCAACTGCATGGCTTATTATAAAAAAAAAATGGCTAAAAACCAAAGGCTAAACTTACAAACTTGGGTCAATTTACTGTATTTCAGAGTACTGATTTATTTCAACCTTTATGCCAGAATTCTGGCAGATCTCTTGCAAATTATAGGCACCAGCTCGTAAATAATATCAAACAATCCAGTTTGGCCACAGAAATCATTCCATTGTGAAAACAATTTAGAGTAAATCATAGCACAACTACCGGCCAGAGCTCCACGTACACTGGAGCACTTCTAATGCCACTACGATGCTAGTGATGACTGAATACCAGTGAGAATACCACAGCTACATAGAGCACCCCATGCCTTGAGCAGTCCCAACAGGTCTTATCACAGAATATGAGAAGTGAGCACCATTAAGGAGGTCCTTTACCTGAAATAATTAATTACCATTAGTGAATACCATAATAGTAAATGCACGGCAATCTATGTCATTTCATCAATTTTCACCGCAAATGATTATAAATACTGTACAGTACAGTATGTATTCTGCACATCTTTCTATAATGAGGAAAGAGCACTAAAATAAAAGTTTAGGGTTGTGTAGTCTTTCTCGAGCCCCAATTCTTTATCACAGTCATCCAGAGGCTGAGAAACTGGGTAGGAAGGCAGACAAAGGGGTTCCAAGGGAAGTAAGGAAGGAGCAAGGGAAGTAAGGAAGGAGCAAGGGAAGGAAGGAAGGAGCAAGGGAAGGAAGGAAGGAGCAAGGGAAGGAAGGAAGGAGCAAGGGAAGGAAGGAAGGAGCAAGGGAAGGAAGGAAGGAGCAAGGGAAGGAAGGAAGGAGCAAGGGAAGGAAGGAAGGAGCAAGGGAAGGAAGGGAGAAGGGTAGGGGGACGACCTTTTTTATCTTGTGCTTCAAAAGTACAGCGAACAATACGTGAACAAGACAGGTAGTGTACAGCCTCGCCCCAGCACCTGCCGTAGTGAGGGCAGAAGAGACTTACCCAAACACCTCCTGGCTGGCGTAGGTGACGTAGAGGAAGCCATCATCGTCGTGACACTCCCGGTAGACCTCAGAGAGGGGCCGGGAGAGGGAGACGAGGGACCGGTTGTTCACTAGGAGGTAGAAGGTCATCGTGCTTTGCAGCTGCATCCGGTTCCTGACCAACACCAAACAACTCATTACACAGTAATTGACGTTTGGAAGTATATTACTACTTTAGACATGCGTGTACACTAATCATAAGAGAGAGAAGATTAAGCCACCCAAAAGGTGGCTTGGGCATGAATAGCCCATAAGTGGTGGCCCTTTTGAGCCATTTCCAGTATCAATAGATGATACTGGAGATCTGTGGAGGTGCGACTGCACCCTGCGTGACGGGAGATGTCTCCGTACTAATCATAAGCTAGTTAAGAGCTTATGTATATTCATATTGTGCATATATGTATCAATTACTTTACCAATATGGATGACAGCTCTACTACTACAAATGTTCACTGATAACAAGTAAAGTGTTTGGTTTAAACCGCTTCTCTGTGCTGGAAATATCTGCATGGCTATGACATTTGTTAAAACAAATATAGGATTTTTGTTTTAACTTGTCCTTGACATGTGAAAGCAATTTTAACCATGTATACAGTCTCGTGATGTTGGGCCATATCTGCCTGGCACCAGTGAACTCTAAATTTACTACAGATAACACAACATGCATGTTGTGTTATTGTTTGCATGTACAAACCTTAATTTCCCCACAAACCATCACAGAAGTTTTAAATGTAATTCATAATTTATTGTGTTGGACAGAGTGTATTCATATATAAGGCTTATATCTATAGCTTAGGCTATATACTCTCAAACCCAATGTACCTCGTAGTATTATTATTATTTATATATGTAAATGTATTACCCAAACTTAAAGCTGCTTATCAATTATAACAGGAAGTTGTCCGTGATATTATAGAACAGTGGTCTGTATTTTCACAAGTTTTAATATTAGTTTAGATAATTTATTTTTTACCCCACATACCCAATACTCATGTGGGCAGTGGTGGACCCCACATACCCATCATTAAGATACCTAAGCAAGGTACGTATGGGTATCTTCATTCAACCCGTTCTCGCAAATTTAATAAGTCAATATTGACTTATTAAATATGTGCATAGGTGACATACTTAACATAATAGATACCCTTAAAAAGATTCATAGAAAACACCGACCTTACCTAACCTTGTTAGTATCTTAAGATAAGAAGCCCTTATTGCTTCGTAATTACAATTATTACCTAACCTATAATAGGCATAGGTTAAGTAATAATTGTAATTACGAAACAATAAGATGCTTATCTTAAGATACTAACAAGGTTAGGTAAGGTCGGTGTTTTCTATGAATCTTTTTAGGGGTATCTATTATGTTTAGTATATCACCTATGCACGTAGTTAATAAGTCAATATTGACTTTACGAATTTGCGAGAACGGGTTGCTTCATTGTGAAGATTATCTTCATTGTAAAGATACCCATAATGGCTTACCTAAGCAATTGTCTTAAAAATTCTGAATTTAAATTTGTTCAACATCAAATCCGTCGATATTCGTGGGTATCGTATAGAATCGTTATCTATGGCACGTGGCTGCAGGTAATGAACTCCCCCAATGGTGAACATTTCAATTGTAAACTATGTGAACAAGAGCTGGGACATACTCTCAAACACTATATCTGTGATTGCCCTGTTATCGGGGACTTCAGACCAAATGATATGAGGTTCCTCTGGGCTCTGTAATTACTTCACACACTTTGGAATATTGGAAAATAATAGTGCGCTGTACGCAGATTTGGCTAGTGTAGGCTAATATATCAGCCTTGGATTTTATGTTCTGATTTTTAGTCAAGAGTTGATTTGTATTTTTGTATCGAGGCTTGTATTTTCTCCCCTGATTTCATGTGTGACTAATCATCCTCTGAGAATGGAGTATTAGATGAACTTTTAGCTAGTTTATGACCTACGCCGTGTAATCTTTCATATAGAAAAGGGTAGCAGCACATTGCTGTGTATACCTAAGCCTGAGAAAAAGAAAAAGGATTCGCCGGTATCATACTATATTGACAACTAATTTGCTTTGTTCTGTAGCTTGGAAATCAACTCTTGGATGGGACATTTTTTTATGATAATGATACTATAATTATAACGCAATTATGGTATTCTAGATAATTTATAATGTTAAATTCATAATTGTAGTCTATATGCACCAACTGTAGCTCAGACCGAGACTTCGGGCACCGTACTTGCTTCACCTATGAATCTTGCAATCTTCTTGTATCCTATGTATACACTTTTGCTTAATTATATTCTAAAATATCAAATTAATTAAAATACTGAACGACGTCTCCAGAATCAAATATGGCGCAAGGATCATAGTTCAACATTACACCCGAGAACACGCGGTTAACACATTACAAGTCGGCCAACGTAATCTAAACTCGCTCATTTACCCTAAATTCATACTAAGTATATTCATTTTTAAAAGGAAGATTAACCAGTTATCAGTTACTGGTCTAGCTAGTTTGGGAGTCTCGTGTCCTCAAACCAAACTAGTAACAGTTGGATCGCCCCTTGCAGCCTTGCAACCATGCAAGACTGACATTGTGCAAAACGCGACCCCTTGCTCCCAACAAGCAGGGCAGGTGACACACTACACTCAACAAACAAGTAGTTAACACTACGCACAAGGTCAGTGACAAACTTTACAGTGTTTAGTCAATATACAAGAGCTGGGAGGGGGGGGGGGAAGGGGGAGCCTTGACACGCACTCGTGGCTGTCATGTCTCAATGACACTCTTGGCTACATATTCTTGCCAGTGCAGCTTTGTACTAGATCTGTCAGGATAATGTAAAGTTTTATGTCTGAAGTTCTGGCCTTCCCTGCTTAGCTTGCTTATCTGGAGATTATCTGGAGATTATTTCGGGGCTTTAGTGTCCCCGCGGACCGGTCCTCGACCAGGCCTCCACCCCCAGGAAGCAGCCCGTGACAGCTGACTAACACCCAGGTACCTATTTTACTGCTAGGTAACAGGGGCATAGGGTGAAAGAAACTCTGCCCATTGTTTCTCGCCGGTGCCTGGGATCGAACCCAGGACCACAGGATCACAAGTCCAGCGTGCTGTCCACTCGGACGAGCGGCTCCCTTATGGAACTAGGTGAACAGAGCCTTCAGGCGTAAGAAAACTTAGCCAAACGTCTCCGTCTACCCACTTGAATCTGGGACCTTCCGGTCATAAAAAAACAAATAACCATACTAAACAATATTGTACCTACAAAATTGTAATTGCGTGGTACTTTTCAATTTCATATTTTTACCATTTTCAAAAAAATTATCGTACAAAAATATTTACACCACAAACACCATTGTCTACCTTTGTATTTCATACTTCATAGTGCACTACTCAACATCCTATGTGTTAATTACAAGTGTTTAACTATTGTGCCAAACGTGTCTAATTTAAATTCATGATCTGCTTTGTGAACCACGTCCAGGGGCGTTAATTTTGGGTTGGGTTGGGGGGCACACGTCCAGGACATGTTGCTTGTACAACAATCACAACCCCTCCGGCTGAATGTGATGGATTTCAATTGTTATATTTTGCTAGTATGAGGCAATCTGTTTAAAAATTACAATTTCCACAGTGCATGTGAAATGCACATATTTGAGACAAAGATATGGAAGGAAAGAACAAATCCACAAGGGCCGTGACGAGGATTCGAACCTGCGTCCAAGAGCATCCCAAACGCTGCCTTAATCGACTGAGCTACGACATGGTAAAGAGAGTTGAAACCTAAGTTCAGTAGAACTTACTGGATCCTGCAGTTTCTCCGAGAGAGAAACCAGGGTTTTACACAACTCCCAATAATGAACTTTTGTTCATTTGTGCCTGCGGGCCGCTCCAAGCAACAGCGTAGTGGACCAAACTCTCAAGTCAAGCCTGGCCTCGGGCCGGGCTTGGGGAGTAGAAGGACTCCCAGAACCATCAACCAGGTATGTTCACTTGATGCATCACGTTAGTGTGATTACCGTGTGTATGGAAGGAAATGTAGAATAGAGCCAGTATGGAGTGGAAGGCCCATCGGCACACACTGGTCATCAAGGCAAATATAGGGGGGAAACTTCGACAAGCCGCCGGCTTCCTGTCCTCGTCGAGGCCACTAGTGTTAATGGCCATCAGGTAAATTCAGGTAAGAACATCGGAGGTCCATAGCGGCTTTGACAGTGGACCTCAGAAACAGCTTTCTCAGCAAGCATTAGAAATATTGCTGGAACAAAAGCCTTTAGATAAGTTTCCGAAAGAAATGCGGGAGCAACCGAGTTGTTGTAGATACGTGGGCCTGCTGGACCAAGCAGCAGCCCGTTGGAAGTACAAGAACTCTTGAAGCCCTCCACAGGTATGTACAAACTACTGGGGAAACGCCGATCCTGTTGAAACTTGAAGACTTTTGCCTGGTCTCAATGGGGAACTCTGCCATAGATTAGCTTTTCCATTTCTCACACCAGAAGTAATATTCCAATCATTTTCCCGCTTGCCCACCCTCAAATATATTAAAACTAAAGGCGTTACTCAGATGCTTAACAAGCTCTACTCTTTCAATGTTTATCGATTTGCCAGATTGATTAAATATGGTTCTGAAATAATGTGCAAATCACAACATGCTCACTACATAACAAAAAGTACAACAATGCTGATCTAACTGAAATGTAAAAAATAATTAACTATTGTAAACAAGTTTCAGGAGAAAGCCAACCTCATTAATAAAATCATTAGGAGTTTAAGAGGTCAAGCAGACTGCTCTTGTCCGTGGTCATGGGATCCCGTTGTCTTAAACCAGTTCCATTATCAACAAATGGTACAAATGGAGCGATAACGCTTATTGGTTCTATAGGATATTAAATTTATATGGATTTTAAAATCCCATTTAATATGTCTGAATTAAAATTGGCATTGAAGACGATATAAAATTTATAGATAAAATGCATAACAAAAAATCCCAATGCACGTTTAAGATTTGTTGCAGTTACTGGCAACATTATCTGTCTTTCCTTGGAACAGAAGCGCAGTGTTAGCCTGTATCTGTGGCCAGTGTTACTGTGCAACTCGTGACTGAGCGATGCAAGGATATAATTAGCAAGCAGTCAGTACACAGCTAACCAGTACCGGCCAGTGAGGGCTGGCGATCCCAGCCTGAATGAACCCCATGACCGACTTTTGGCGTCAATACTCTCCCTCCCCGTCTCAAGCCCTAGACTGTATTATTAACGTCTTGGCTGCAACTCATACAACTGTACATGTATTAAATACTGAAGATGTAAGACTGAGGTCGAATATGCTTATGTTATTTTTAAATATGTAATTATCATTGAATTAACGACGGTGTTAATTAACTTCAGACGTGCGTTATGGGAAGGGTAGAAATAGCCTAAGATACTCTATCCCTTTAAGATGTATTTTATTGTCTCGATAACCGTACTTGAAGGCGCATTAACAATTTAAGTAAAATAGTTTATGAAGGGCGGCTGGCAGACCATTATTAGGGTGTCGTCGAGTACCATTACATGCCTTTGAGTCCAGATTAGAGTCTGTACAAAATAAAGGCGAGGCTGCTGATTCTCTGATCAAAACATGTCAACCATTTTGCGCCATTTCTAAATAGCTCGACAGGTCGTAATACCGAATATTACACATTTGAAATACCTGAATTGCGATTTTTTTTTTATTAATATTTTAACGTTACCGAGAATACAAGAAAGTTTTATAAATTATGTTGTTAATGTCATCCCTCCCAACACCCGGGCGCCCCCCAACACAAACCACCACCATGTTTGTTAAAGGAATTTCTTCAGTTATTTCCTCATTAATCATGCGGCTTCGATCCCCGCGTCCAAGTAAACATCTCTGTGGTAAATAGTGAAGTGTATGATCATACGGGGGAACTGTGATGACTGGTTGTATAGTATCCAGTATGGTGGAGCAGGGTTTTTTTTATATACAAGAGACCTGTTATGGTGTTAAACGAATCTTTCAGCGATTAGTTAAGTAATACTTGGCATTATAGTAGAGTTAATTCGTTTGATATGAAGGGTATGCAAGGGCGCCATCTATCCTCCTGTAAGCAAGCGAGATTAGGCTACAGGGAGGTACAAAGCCGTTACTCGCATTTCATGACCGCACTTTTGGCTCCATTTACCACATCAGAATTCCGGCAGTGAAATTAAAACCACCACAATATCGACTCTTTCGTGTTTATATCCGTCTCGATATATTAGGCGAGGTGTCGAGGGTTTGAACATTTGATTAGGCAACTGCACTTTAAATTTGTTGCTTGCAAGATTTACAGAAGGGGCTTTAATGTCACCCTTCCAAATGTCAAAATTCAAACGAGTACATACACGCACACGAGGTTTCCAAGGTCTATATAGGCACCACGATTCGTTCAAGAAATGGCTACTGGATTTCTATACAAGCAAATGCAAGGTGATGACAATGTGGCCATCGGAAGGCAGACACGCAGGACTGAACAGAATTAAAGGAAATCGTCTCCAGGAAGCAACTGAAGTCTATATGAGTAGCATACTGGAACTGAAACACCAGAACAGCCTTCGCGAACCCCAGTAACAAGTCATTCCTAGCACGGTACAACCCAATACCAGGAAACCACGTTAGAAGGTCACATTCCTAGTGCTTCGCTTCTTCCTCCCTGGTTCCCACACAAACCCAGTCAAGGTCAACTTGTACAAGGCTTCATATTACATTTCCTAATCCCGTTACGCCTACAAAACACCGCTCTGAAATTATTGAAGCAGCAATGTGGTCCACGTGAGAATTTCTCGGTAACACGCATTGTAAATATTGTATTGGAACTTGGAGCTGCGAGTCGTGTCACTGGAGGGGTGACCATTGATCTGGGAAGGGAGTGTTGAGGGACACACTTACGGCGGGCTGGGGGAAGCTGGTGACTTACCTCAGGATGGTGACGAACTGGGACATTGTTAGCTCCTGAGGCACCAGGAATTTAGTCTTGTCAAGCACGGGTAGGGTCGTTTCTTTGGCGTATCGCTCCACGATCACCTGTAACACAAACACCATTTTATTTGTCTGCCAGCGTCAGAGAGCAAATCCAACCTCTTCCCCACACACACACACACACACACACACACTCACTTACACTTCCTGTGACTTCATATAACCCTGAAGAGCTCACTCGGAAAAAAATTACTCACAATTACATCACTATCAAACATTCCATATACTTCCTACACACCTTGCGGTATCAAGTTAATCTTTCAACTAATTTCTTCACAATTATCACTAATGACAAATAATTCAATTGTACTGTATCTGGGAGGACAAACTACCCAAAAATCCTAGCTAGCCTGGTATCTCCCAAGTTTGTCAGTTTACACACACACACACACACACACACACACACTAGGCTGCCATTGTCTGTCACAGTTTACACACTAGGCTGCCATTGTCTGTCACAGTTTACACACACTAAGCTGCCATTGTCTGTCACAGTTTACACACACTAGGCTGCCATTGTCTGTAAATGTCATCACCATTTACCGTAACGCTACATAGTGGACCCAAAAGATAATCCCATCTGCGCGGCATTAATACGCAAGCACAAACAAATGGCAATTGCTTTGCTAAACACTTCAGGGACTCATCAACTATGTTCAACTCATCAAGACAGTATAACATGTCTATGTTCAACTCGTCAAACGTCACGTATATCATGGGCGCAGACTTACTGATCACCGTCTCATCGATATTGCTCAATGGATCAATAGTGCATGAATTGATCATTTTGTCATCCTCGGTTCATACGACATGATAAACCTCCAATGTATTGAAATGATTAATATCCTTGAAAATTTACACATGCACTTTAAATTTTGTATTTCTGAATGGTATAATTCACACACCACCGTTACTGCATTATATGAGAACCTTGTTACTGAAGTAATGGCTTTCTTTATCGCGAAGCTCCCAAACCAACAGACGAGGCACAGAGGTGGCTCTAACACCTTGATATTTTCTGTACATTTGGCTGGTCGTCATGGCCAGAAAGTAGAATTTGGTCAAACCGGAAAAAGTCTTTATTAGCAACAGAAATATAAATATTACGCATAATGTAACGTAGCCTCTCCTAGTGGATGGGGTGGTCGAGGGTAGAGTAGCGGGGGAGGGTAGAGTAGCGGGGGAGGGTAGAGTAGCGGGGGGGGGGTAGAGTAGCGGGGGGGAGGGTAGAGTAGCGGGGGGGAGGGTAGAGTAGCGGGGGGGAGGGTAGAGTAGCGGGGGGGAGGGTAGAGTAGCGGGGGGGAGGGTAGAGTAGCGGGGGAGGGTAGAGTAGCGGGGGAGGGTAGAGTTGCGGGGGAGGGTAGAGTTGCGGGGGAGGGTAGAGTTGCGGGGGAGGGTAGAGTTGCGGGGGAGGGAAGGATAGACAGTTCATTTATTATACACCCCATACCCATCTTGTGGGCGGTAGTGGAAAAGTGTTACAGAGGCACATAATGGGCTCAGGGACTGAACCCCACAATTCATTTAGCTAATTCATTTTCATTCAATTCAGCAAGCGGGGCGTACTACTTGCTCCCCTGGCGCCATGGAACACACGGCTATGCTTATGCAAGGCTCTCTAGCCGGGTCGAATTTCTACTACCCTCCAGTACCACTACACGTCCAAAAGAAAACATGCACAAAAATTACAAGCATGGAAAAGAAGGTGCAAAGAAAAACAAAACACCGTCCACCATATGATCAGACAATCCAGGAGCGTCATGGGAGCTTTATTCAGCCAATAAACATCAGACTACAGCACCAAGCCACCACCAGGGTGTGGAACACCATCCAAATGTTTGAGGAACCAATGTTAGAAAAATATTTCAAGATGAGCTCTTGAGTTTATTCAGCTCAAGGGTTCTGGTAGGATATGTCTTGCGAGGTCGTGCAAGATATCTTGCACGACCTTTCCTCCTCATGGGAGGAGGAAAGGAAGGCTGGTAGAGCAATTTGAGAGGCTGTGCGGACACCAAGGCCGCCGAGTCTTACAGGGAGGGTTGGTTGCTTGCTCCCATTGGGAGTCGTCCAACGGAAGGTTCGGGAGTTTCACTAGCATGGACCTCAGAAAGGTGTCGCATACATATAATTTAGGGCTGATGAAGGATGGAGAACACCTCGGAAAGTAAGTCAACTTAGGGAGAGAGAAGCATCTTTCGAGGAGGAAGAGAGCATCATGAGCATCAATCTTGTCAATCCTGTTATGCCTTCCTAAGTCAGTGGTTTTTGCCTCCAGGACCACCTTGCTTGCTTGCTTGCTTGTGGGCCAATGGGGGCACCCAGGAGGGTGTAGTCAGGTGGCTCGACAACGAGAACGTCTGGAAGAACAGTTTTTATTTGGCCAGTGATGTCTGGGTTGTGGGAGACTATTTCACATTTGGATGCATTGAGAATGAAGCCCATAGTTGCTCCTTGCTCCTGGATTTTCCTTATATCCTCCAAAATAGTATCCGGGGTGCCGGCGAGAGTGCCATCATCCAGGTACCAGATGTTTAGCTCGCTTGTCAGACTATCAGTGACCTCTTTGATAGCTAAGTAGAAAATTAGGGGGCTAAGGGGTCACCTTGTTGGACACCTTCACAGGAATCTTTCATGCTCCCCAGAAAGAATCTTTGAGTCCCCCACTGTAGCACGATATATATAACTACAAGGGAGGCTCTCCATTTGAATTACTAAACTAAAATTAATTTTAGACACGTGTGCACGATGCACTCAACGCCATAACTGGTGGAAGTAAATGAGGAGGAGTCCATGTGTGGCGGTAATCACCCCCTTGTACGTTAACATCTCGCCCTTAATGACACCCGCCACTATCTTGTGGCCGAGCGCTCCTGCGCGTGCGTCGTGAAGGTTGGGGGGGCTTCCTGTCCCTGCTCCTCTCCCTTCCTCTTCCTGTCTCGCCCCTTCCCCCCCTTCCCCTCACCCCTCCCCTTCACTATCTCCTGTTGCACCATATCCATTTATTTCTTGCAATATTGAGGTATTGACGATTCTTGAACTCAAATCACCTCCGTCTCCGTCCAAGCCAGCGTGGTGGTGCCGGGGCACGTGCTGGGTCACCACCACCGCGGGGCCGCCACACGCACCGTGAAGGGACCGAGAGCGGCGGCGACCCACTCAAAAACTAGTCCAGGGGCGGGAGATGAGCCCGTGGTGTTGGGAGCACTGAGGGTGCTGGCGCCTCGATCCCCACCCCGTCTCACCCCCAACATTGCTTACTCTTGCTACCACCACTACTAGTACTACCACCACCACTACTAGTAGTACTACCACCACTACACACTGCTCCATGTGCTCGCTGCACTTGCTATTATTAACTGCTTTCTGCGAGGAGACAGCGTATAGGGTATCATGTCTCGTCCCCCCCCCCCCCACCACTGTCTCTAGGTGCTAGGGGGGACATAACCTTAACACACATACTGGCTGCTTGTCCCCCACGACACAGACTTGATCATTAGCACAATTTCAGTCACCAATTAAATGCATTTTAATGATTTCTGTGAAGCGTGTCTATGTTTGCCCGTGTAGCAATTAATTATAAAGCCCTGTATTATATGTTCCAGTCTTCCTGTCACACACTTGATCTAGTGCTCTGTGTATAATACTGAGGGATCTGCCTAGCCTGTTGGGTGGGGCTTAGCCTGGCGAGGATGTAGCCTAGACTGTGTGAGGGGGGGGGGTTTGGCAGCGTGGCCTAGACTGTGTGAGGGGGGGTTTGGCAGCGTGGCCTAGACTGTGTGAGGGGGGGGCAGTGTGGCCTAGACTGTGGGGGGGGGCAGTGTGGCCTAGACTGTGTGAGGGGGGGGGGCAGTGTGGCCTAGACTGTGTGAGGGGGGGGGCAGTGTGGCCTAGACTGTGTGAGGGGGGGGGCAGTGTGGCCTAGACTGTGTGAGGGGGGGGCAGTGTGGCCTAGACTGTGTGAGGGGGGGGGCAGTGTGGCCTAGACTGTGTGAGGGGGGGGGGGCGAGTGCACAAGCCACAGGGCAGGGGGAGGGCGGATGCACGAAGACAAGCCCCCCTCCTCCCCCCAGCAACAAGGGGGAAGCCTCCCCCTCCCCCAGCAACAAGGGGGAAGCCCCCCTCCCCCCCAACACCTAACAACATTGTACTATCATGCAACATACTTGCCGGGTCATGCACCCTTTGCGACTAGCGTACACACGGCACCCCATCCCCCTCCGTGCCTACACCTTCATCAGGGCCGGAGACGATTGGGCAGGGTCTGACCAGCCGAGGTACACACCAATGCACCAAGAAATCTCATTAACGCTGTATTAATTTATCCTTTTAAGAGAAGTGTTTGAGGATGAACTCTTGGACCACAGCCAGAGTGCATTGTGGGGGGGGCTGAGTTAAACCCCCTCTAGAAGCTTCAGTGGAAGCCCCCCCCCAGGACCCCCCCTAGAGGCTTCACTGGAAGCCCCCCAGGACCCCCCTAGAGGCTTCAGTAGAAGCCCCAGAGGACCCCCCCATAGAGGCTTCAGTGGAAGCCCCAGAGGACCCCCCCCCTAGAGGTTTCAGTGGAAGCCCCCCCAGGACCCCCCCCTAGAGGCTTCAGTGGAAGCCCCCCAGGACCCCCCCCCTAGAGGCTTCAGTGGAAGACCCCCAGGACCCCCCCTAGAGGCTTCAGTGGAAGACTCCCAGTACCCCCTAGAGGTTTCAGTCGAAGCCCAGGTGGCATTGCTCTTCACCGTATAATGAGTATTGTAATGAGTATTCTAATGTGGATCCTTGAGAGCACACACACACCCCCAAAGTCCGGGTTCGAGCCCCGCTCGTGGCTGCTCCTGGCGCCGTTCTAGGCACACACACACACACACACACACCCCAAACGGCTCCGTAAGAATGGAAAGCTTGCCAAACCACCTCCGGCAAGCACCAACCGGCGCGCGCCTGGCGCCTTGGCAAATGTCATCCAGTCTCTGGCTAGCAACACAGCAGGGGGTGTAGAGGAGGGGGAGGGGTTGTAGAGGGGGGGGGAGGAGGGGGGGTGTTGAGGGGGGGGAACAATGAGTTAACAGGTTCTCCCTCCCCCCCCCCCACCTCCACCACCTCCTCCTCCTCCTCCTCCTCCTCCTCCTCCTCCCCCCCCCCCCCGACCGTCCACAAGTGGTTGGGCACTATTCCTTTCCCTCCGTCCCATCCCAAAGTCCCTTCATCCTGGTCCCATCCAAGGGCTATCCACCATATGGGGAAAAAAAGGAATTTGACCTGAATTTACCTGAAAGGGGCCACCACGTGTCCGGTGGCCCACGACGGGGGACAGGAAGCCAGTGTTTTGTCAAATGTCCCCCCCCCCCCCGCTATTTTATATATTTCGTATTTATTAGTGGGGGTATATGGGATTGGTTGGGTCTATCCGTCTAAATTTATCTATATCTATCCATCTCCCCCCCCCCCCCTGAAAAATATAATTGTGTGATGTGTGGGTGGTCGCCAGTGAGAAGAACTTAGTGGTGTGATAAGCCACTAATATTTACCCTTTAATCTGATCAAGAACCACTGCTTGAAGACTGTACGGGGCTCACCATAGCCCGTGCTACTTGGAACTTGTTCCTTGTAGCTGAATCTATAACAACAACAACAACATGATGCTGTCAAAACATAAGACAACTCCAAACGAGGGAATTACGCAAGATGATCCAAACATAAGATTTAATCCTACAAGTCACACACGGTCCTAACAGTCTGCTTGGTCATGGCGACAGGCGAGAACCACGGTCCGAGATCTGGCCACATTGCCGGCGGACGCCAAGACCCTCAAAAGTAGTAAAGGTACATTCTAGGCATCGGGCAACACGGCAGCTTCACACCACAAACTGAGGGAGAGAAAGTGTGTTCAGAAGGTGGTGAAGGAGAGGGAGTAGGAAAGGGGGTAGAGGGGGGGGGGGGAGAATAGGGGGGTTGCCCTTTCACTTCCTTGCTCACAAAGGGGCATAGAAACACCGTATCACACTAACCTGTCTCCAAACTAGGCTCGTTCAACCGGCGGCCGACCCCAGAGAAGCAGGGTCTATCTTGAGATTATCTGGGGCTTTTTTAGTGTCCCCGCGGCCCGGTCCTCGACCAGGCCTCCATCCCTCAGGAAGCAGCCCGTGACAGCTGACTAACACCCAGGTACCTATTTTACTGCTAGGTAACAGGGGCATAGGGTGAAAAACTCTGCCCATTGTTTCTCGCCGGCGCCTGGGATCGAACCCAGGATCACAAGACCAGCGTGCTGTCCGCTCGGCCGACCGGCTCCTCCCTATAGACGGGTCGTCGATATTAAGTATATTAAAAACTTTGTATTTTCTCAAATAAAAGTTAATATTTCACACTAGAATGTGTCGAGTAGTTAGGCCTAACTTGGGTGGGATGGTTAGCTTCTGTTGACCATTATTGACATTTGCCGAGTGATTGATAACGATTAAGCTACCCTAGAGGTGGCACGGGCATGAATAGCCCGTAAGAGCAGATGAATAAGGAATGAAAATAGGTACAAGATCATGAATAACCCCCCCCCCCGGGGTGAAGAGGTGAACCATTGACCTAAGTAACGGTAGGTGCTCATTATTGTTATAGATTCAGCTACTTTGAATAAGTTGCAAGTAGCACGGGCTATGGCGAGCCCGTAGTGGACTTACCTGGCACAGGTGCTCAAAGGGACTGGGTATTAATTCCCCCCCCCCCCACCAGGTGAAAAGCAAGGTGAACCATTCACCTGGTGCTCAAGGGTTCATGTGAGGGGGGAGGGGGGGGGGCGGATATCCTCTGAAGATAGCCAGCTCTGAGTCAACAGTCCCCCCCCCCCCATGGCCACCAGGCACCACTGGATACTACCCTCCAAAGGTGCCACCTGTAGTGCTTTTTCTTGTTATAGATTTAGCTACTTAACGAAATGTCCATGTAGCACGGGCTATGGCGAGCCCCGTAACCTGTAGTGTTGTGAACGGTGTTCTACGTCACCCTCACCTACGATACTGTAGTTAATCTCAACTGTGTACACAGTAGAACACTGTACCAGCGCTGGCACTGTGACCGACATCATGATGTTATAGATTCAGCTACTCTGAACAAGTTCCAAGTAGCACGGGCTATGGTGAGCCCGTAACTTACCTGGCACAGGAGCGGGGCAAGTAGCACGGGCTATGGTGAGCCCGTAACTTACCTGGCACAGGAGCGGGGTGTGACCGACAGCCTCTTTGTTTATAAATTACTTTTTGTACGTGCACCGTCGTACATATATTGACTTAACTGACCAGTCCTTCTAAGGGGGTCATTGGTGCGGTGGTCACGGTACTGTGTATGTTTAGGGGCGATCATAGGGCATATGACGAAGGCAAACCGGAGGGGACAGTCCCTCCATCGCAAGTGAATCACACAAGGCTTATTGTAGAAGCGTTCTTAGTCTGTCTCGTATCCATTGGCTAGACCATGTTTAGTGTTCTATACTACTGCCTTAAGTCTAGAGGTCTGAAACTACAGGCGGTGCCCTGAGAGAAATATGTCATGTATAATAACTATTATTCTTTATCGCCATTCGAAAAAAATACAAAAACTAATATATTTTTTTGTAATAAGAGTGTGAACTGAAGTGGAGGAGAGGTTGTAGTTGTTTAAGAGGGGAGAGAGACCGGATTCACCATAGCCTGTGCCACTTGCCCCGCTCCTGTGCCAGGTAAGTCCACTACGGGCTCACCATAGCCCGTGCTACTTGCCCCGCTCCTGTGCCAGGTAAATTACGGGCTCACCATAGCCCGTGCTACCTGCCCCGCTCCTGTGCCAGGTAAGTTACGGGCTCACCATAGCCCGTGCTACCTGCCCCGCTCCTGTGCCAGGTAAGTTACGGGGCTCACCATAGCCCGTGCTACCTGCCCCGCTCCTGTGCCAGGTAAGTTACAGGCTCACCATAGCCCGTGCTACTTGCCCCGCTCCTGTGCCAGGTAAGTTACGGGGCTCACCATAGCCCGTGCTACTTGCCCCGCTCCTGTGCCAGGTAAGTTACAGGCTCACCATAGCCCGTGCTACTTGCCCCGCTCCTGTGCCAGGTAAGTCCACTACGGGCTCACCATAGCCCGTGCTACTTGCCCCGCTCCTGTGCCGGGTAAGTCCACTACGGGCTCACCATAGCCCGTGCTACTTGCCCCGCTCCTGTGCCAGGTAAGTCCACTACGGGGCTCACCATAGCCCGTGCTACTTGCCCCGCTCCTGTGCCAGGTAAGTCCACTACGGGCTCACCATAGCCCGTGCTACTTGGAACTTGTTCCGAGTAGCTGAAGCTATAAACAACAACAACCAGGTGAACCAAATTGGTAACCAACTTTTACCATAAAACCCCTGCCAGTGGCCGCGTAAATTTTGGTGTCCAGAGTTTGGTCCGCCGTCTGAGACCTGACGTGGCGGCCTGGCCCAGTGGTGGGGGGGTGTTGAGGGTCACGGACGGGGTACTGCTGTCCCCCCCTGCCCCCCTGTGGCTACACCTGTAACAGGTGTAGCCACGAGGGTGGGGGGGGGGGGGAGCGCTTTAGGGGTGATGGGGTTGCAATCGTCCCAAGCTCCCTTACCAACACCTGGGTCCCTTTACCACACCTACACCCCCCCCCCCCCCACACACACACACACACACACACACACACACAAAACACTACTCGGCCCCAATCTCTCACACGCCTCCGAGAGCCCTGATAAAACCAGTGTACCCAACGTTATAATCACTATAACTTGCTATATCAATGAGAACATCATTGGAGTAGGGCGGGGGAATCGAACCCAGGGTAGCCGCGCACCTTCAGCACGCGCACCGCGCACCTTCAGCACGTCGTGGTGTAGTGGCGCGACGCGTAAGAGTAATACAAGATTGTAGAGGAGTTGTACAAGACAATTTTCACAATTACAGACAACCTTAAGTTATCCCAGCTGCAGGTAGTCCCGGAGTCCCCCCCCCCCCCCTACCCCCCTCTCCCTGGAATAGACGGGTATTGATCTTAGTCTCGCAGGGGGCGGCTCCACCACCCCCCCCCCCCAAGCCTCTCCTCTCAGCTATGGTACTCACCGGTATCTTGTTAGGAAACTTGCCGCGAATGTTGGCCACTTCCTGCTTCCTGGACGCTGGAAGGAGAACAAGAACACATTAACACATGCTTGAAGAACACACAAGAACAAGAACAAGCGCTTCAGCAGCATGTGTTACCCTGGCCTAGCCTAGCCTAACCTGGCCTAGCCTAACCTGGCCTAGCCTAACCTGGCCTAGCCTTGCCTAACCTGGCCTAGCCTAGCCTAACCTGACCTAGCCTAGCCTAACCTGACCTGACCTAGCCTAACCTGACCTAGCTTACCCTAACCTAACCTAGCCTAGCCTAACCTGACCTAGCCTAACCTAACCTAACCTAACCTAACCTGCACAGTATGTAGCACCAGCCTGGAGCCCTCCTTCCTCATAATAAAGATTAACAAAGGTTCACAGGTCGACGCCTTTGCTACACGACTGGACAAAGTTTGTAATATTACGACAACAGAGGGCTTTAACGTACAAATTTTATATAGCAGACATTTTTCTTTATAGAACCCACATTAATAACAAAAAAATTTGCAGTTATCTAGGTGTAATTTACAACACTTACCTACCCCCCCCCCCAAAATGTAAATGTAAGTGCCCCCCCCAAAGTGTAAATGTAACTGCCCCCCCCCCAAAGTGTAAATGTAACTGCCCCCCCCCAAAGTGTAAATGTAACTGCCCCCCCCAAAAAATGTAAATGTAAGTGCCCCCCCCAAAGTGTAAATGTAACTGCCCCCCCCAAAGTGTAAATGTAACTGCCCCCCCCAAAATGTAAATGTAAGTGCCCCCCCCCAAAGTGTAAATGTAACTGCCCCCCCCCCCAAAAATGTAAATGTAACTGCCCCCCCCAAAGTGTAAATGTAACTGCCCCCCCCCCAAAGTGTAAATGTAACTGCCCCCCCCCAAAGTGTAAATGTAACTGCCCCCCCCAAAGTGTAAATGTAACTGCCCCCCCCCCCCAAAGTGTAAATGTAACTGCCCCCCCCCAAAGTGTAAATGTAACTGCCTAACCCCCTTCCCCCCCCCCCCCAAGTGTAAATGTAACTGCCTACCCCCCCCCCCCCCCCCCCCAAGTGTAAATGTAACTACCCCCCCCCCCTCCATACGAACTACAAAGAACTAAATGTGTTAACTTATTACTGTAACTCTACAGTAATCTGTATATATGAACAAATGGAAAAAGATAAGGAAGAGTCCCGTAGGTCCACCCCACGGAGGAGGAGGAGGAGGAGGGGGGGGGGGGGGGGAGGATACATACACACACATAAAAGGTTACACATTATACAGTCAATATATAGAGTTGGTACACCATGTGTAGGCGAGGGAGCAGGAAAGGCCTTCGAGCGCGCGCTACAATTACTTCCGCGCGTCTAGGTCGTACGCCACGCCCGACACTGGTCACGTACACAGCGCACGTACACACCTGTGTGCGTGTACTCACACGTACACACCTGTGTGTGCGTGTGTGCTCACCTCGCCCCGCCTGTCAGTAACTACGAGACAGGGAGAACACCTATACTCCCCGCCTCCTACAGCTGGTCGCATCTGGCGCGCGCGTCACCCCCGTCTCAAATATCATATTTCTAAAGTTGTGGCTGGAATTGGGCCTCCACACCGACCTTCCCCTCACTTGCAGACCATCTGCACATGTACATAGAACACCCTACACCTTCCTTACACCCTAGTATGTCTCCAGCTTCCTCCAAAGTGAGTGAGTGAGTGAGCCTCCTTCAGCGTCAACTCAACGTCTTATACTTTTATTCCTGTTCTTTCTTCCCTCTTCTGAGGCCGAGTTCCTTCAACCTTTTCAGTGAGGCCAGAACTGATAGGCCTCATAGCTCAGGCCTGTCAATTCCGGTACTAATCTAGTTGCTAAACTCTAAGACCACTCAAGTTTACAAGGTGTGGGGTCCAGGCTGGAGCTACATACTCTAACGATCTCTCATAGGCAGTGTAAACGAATTTTAAAGCATTGTTTAGAATCTTAAATGATGTTCTGATACTGACTAACTTCCCACATGCTGCTGATGTTATCCTGTTCATGTGCGCGCCCACACGAATGCGCGCCTGAACACTAACGCGCGCGCGCGCACCGCCCTGCCAAGTGGGTTTAAGAGGTTGCCTAACAGGAAGGCATTTTAGTCAGAATTTGTTTCAATCACCGACACGCCGCTACATCCTGCATACAACACACGACCTCAACCACCCACTTACACTAGTACAACGTGACACTTGGGCACAAGGCTGTGGTGGGTGTGTGGGCCTGCGGGCCGCTCCAACCAACAGCCTGGTGGACCAAACTCTCACAAGTCGAGCCTGGCCTCGGGCCGGGCTTGGGGAGTAGAAGAACTCCCAGAACCCCATCAACCAGGTATCAACAAGGTAACCCACCACTATGGCTGGAGAGAGATTGATTTTGCACCTGGCATCAGATTTTGGGTTGGTACACGCTATATACAAGCTATTGGGACCCGGGTTAGATTCTCGGGTACAGAGCCGTTTGGGCACATTTCCCATACACTTGGTATCTTGTGTTTGCCTACCAGTACACAAGTACTTGTACATCTGGGACACAGGCCCGACGTTAGCTTGAGTTATCTTGATAACCCGACTCGTTATCCGTACCTGACCAACGTGAAACTACAAGCGGGTTCTGTAGGCTGATTAACTCTCGTAAGCTGACTTACAAGCCTTCCGGGTCAGATATACAACCTACGCGAAAACGTCTCTCTAACATGCAGTCTTGGCATGGCATACCACACCTGGAGACGTACTTCCAAAGAATGCATCAAGTCTCGTTCCCGAGCTACGAGGAACGACAGAACTACTTGGAACGACAGAACTACTTGGAACGACTAAAGAAACTGGACTTCACCACACAGGAGGAGACACAATGTGAAGGGTGTCATAATATTCGAGAAGGAATTGGCGCAGGCCAGAAAGTACTTTCAGTAAAGATGATTTTGACAACGAACTCGTATTCTTGACGGCAAAGTCATTGTCAAAATCTCTACTTCGTTGGCTTGACAAGCCGGAGAGGACATACCTGGAACATTTTTGTTCTACTCCCCCGAACCCGGCCAGAGGCTGGTTGATACCTGGTTGATGGGGTTCTGGGAGTTGTTCTACTCCGCCAAGCCCGGCCCGAGGCCAGGCTTGACTTGTGAGAGTTTGGTCCACCAGGCTGTTGCTTGGAGCGGCCCGCAGGCCCACATACCCACCACAGCCCGGTTGGTACGGCACTCCTTGGAAGGAAACAATCTAGTTACTCCCATAGGTGGCGCAAGGCTACACCAGACTTGTAATAACTCCAGAAACAAGCTTGGGCCGGTTTAACAAGTAACTCCTACCACGAGTGTCAAGTTCAACACCTGTCATTGGTCGTTATGAGCAGTGGAACAAGAGTCAAGAGTCCTGCTTCCTGCCCGAGCAGCGAGGGGTTCCTCGCGTCCTTCATGGCGCCACAGGACTCTTAACCCCCGCCCCTCCCCGTGTCGGAGAGTTCCTAGAAGTATCCAGGCGCCCCTGACGTCAACACTAATGTTGACGTCTGCCTGACCCGCTTACAGCAACGACAAACACGCCCACTTTACACATGCCGCCCGCCGCCGCCCACCCTCACTGACTGCCAGTTTCCCGCCCACCCTCGCTAAGCCCGCCTGCCCTCACCCTATACTCTGACTCTCGCTACACGCGTACACCCTCTTCCCCCCTTCCCTACCGCTACACTGTCACCCGTCACCTCCACCCCCCCCCCAACCTTTCCCCTCAACACCCACTGCGCTACGCGCGTATACGTCCCAATCACCGCCACTTTCACTGTCGCACACAAGGCGGGTTTGTGCATTACTCTTCAATTATTATTTCTTTTTTGGCAGGGATAATTTTGTGCGGGCCTGAAGCCTCTGGCTGGCCCACTTCAGCGGCCATGAGTTGTTTAAACTTTGCTCAATGTCAACAAATCTCTTTACTAGTTGTATATGAAAAGGATGCAAAGGGGAGCCGGTCGGCCGAGCGGACAGCACGCTGGACTTGTGATCCTGTGGTCCTGGGTTCGATCCCTGGCGCCGGCGAGAAACAATGGGCAGAGTTTTTCACCATATGCCCCTGTTACCTAGCAGTAAAATAGGTACCTGGGTGTTAGTCAGCTGTCACGGGCTGCTTCCTGGGGGTGGAGGCCTGGTCGAGGACCGGGCCGCGGGGACACTAAAGCCCCGAAATCATCTCAAGATAACCTCAAGAATTATTCCAAGTTTCAGCCTAAATAGAAAGGGAGATTAATTTACGTTGAAAAAACAAATCACATTTTCAGTAAGTTCCTACAATCACAAGTTTCAAATATAATCATTCTATGACACTTTTCTGACACATTAGCATATAATAAAGAATCTGATGCCGCGGATTTTCCAAAATGTTTAGTTTTACTAATACAAATAGTCAAAAGTTCCCCTAAAAAAAATTATGCAAATATATCGTGTTTATTGATAATTATAAAAATCGATAAATGAACTTATGAAAAACGCTGGTATGAGATTTTAAGAGAAACTTTACATATAATATGTAAGTTTCATGTTAATTGAATACAAGTTAAAGAGTAGTGACTACGTTCATATTACTTGAAAAATAAATCATTAAAAATTAAAAAGTCTAAGTTGCTGCCATCTCTGCGGCTGAGGTTGACATTAACCAATTTCCTCCAAAATTGGCACCCTTACAGATAGGCCTACGTGCAGTCAGGTGTACAAGTTTCATGCAAATCGTCCGATAAACAAAAAAAAAATCATTTTTTTTGTAACTAAAGGTTTTTTGGATAAAATTATTAAATATTTTTATTATATGCTATTGTGATAGCTGAGAGTCAGACATGATTTCAGTTGACACTTGTGTTTGATGTTAATTTTTGACCATTTTTTGGAAAAATTTTGACAATTCAATATATTTTTTTTCTCCCTATTTATGCTAGGATGCTGAGACTTGGCCCAGATGAAACACTTTTCATATACAACTCGTCAAAAATGTTTGATTGAAATCGTACGAGTTTTCATTTATTGCA